CCATTTCTCATGGGAACGCAAAATGTTTTTCTTTTGAACTTGGAGTCTTTATTTTTCCAATCTAATTATAAAAAGACAAGCTACATGCCATGATCTGGAATGAAGTGCTGGAGCACCCCTGGATGCTGCTTGAGTGTATTACTGTTGACTGTAGTTACTGATGCTCAGAGACAGCCTCTGTCACTCTGCCTATCTTCCAACACCAATTCATTAGTACCGAGCATGTAGCTCTGACAAAGGGAAAGTGAAGTGCACTAGACAGTGGTTTTAGCAAAAATCAAAATGGTGGTTTCATTTCATTTTAGGAGATTTTGCAGGATGTAGGAGGACATTGATAATTTCATAGCCAGATGGAGTGAATACTCTAAACTAGATTGGCTCTCTGTAGAACCCATGATGGGCTTCATTCTTAAATGGGGGCTGTGTCTGATGACATCAGTAGTGCATTTTTTAATTGAAATTGACATAATAATTGAATTGGATTTTACAGATGATGAAATGATACCTTAGGTTTTAGATAGCTCTATTCTTATTTTCTAAACACCTGAACCCTCAGGGATCAATAGGAATTTTTTGTGTTTGGTGGGTTTTTGTTTTGTTTTGTTTTCGTATGTGCATAGTGTGTGTGTTTATTTATGACTAAGAACTCTTTCAGAAGCTTGAGTTCTTTTATTTCTTTAATAAAGTGGATTTTTCAGCTACTTTACTTTCTTAATTACACACCCTGAACCTTTGCTTTTTCTCTCAGGTAACAAATTACCATCTTACTCCCCCTAGTGGAATTTTAACTCTACTTCAAAGTTTGAGAGTAACTATTCCTAGTACATATTTGATTTAGCATTTTATTTCTGGAAGTCTGGTATTTTTCCAGTTTGTTTTCAGGGTGAGAATAAAAACAGAATATCTTACTGGGTGTGCTGATAGGGGATGTGGGTAGAGAAAGTGGCTTCCAGCTGATTAGGTTTCAGTTCCCAGGGTTAGCAAGGTCAGCTGCAAAATTTATAATGGCTGCCAAGATCAAGGGGCCTTCTGCTCCACACTTCTATCTTAGAGGGGTCAAGTGTCATCATCTAGAAGGCAGCCGTCAACACTCCTGGAAAGGTCGTAGGGGGCCAGTTGTTGGTGATGTTGAAGGCAAGGACAGGTCCCATGTGAACAACAAATCCCACTTGTGCCTTTGGTAAATTTGGCCCAGGAAGTGTCCTTCTGTCTTCTGAATCTACCAGAGAAACTGCACCAATATCCATGGCACTGACAATCATTTTGCAGCTGCTAAGCATGCTAAGAAAATTCTAGCAATTGAAGCTGAAAACACTGCATACCTCTCTTAATTTAAATTTCTTTAGGGGATGATGATCAATGATTTCATGGTATCTGAATCTCCTTTTTTCCTACCACTATTTGTTTTTCTCAATTTTGACCCTTGTTACAATGTTGTATTTATTCAGCTCTGTACCTTACTGTACACAAAGCACTCCTGTTATATGTACTAGTGCTAAAATGTGTGAAACTTGAAAAACAAATATCTATATGTGCCAAGGCTTAGGACTGTGCTCTTGGGCAGGTAGGACTTTGCTTCTAAATTAAGGCAAAAACTGCCAAGGTTATAATGGTTGCCAAATTAATGAACAACAGAGTATGTGTCCTTGATATTTATGAGCAAGAATACTGTAATTAGAATTTTCTCTGTCTTAAGAATCATGTAACAGAGGTGGTATTTAGATATATCTTTTTCCCAATATTTTTTCTTAGAGTAAATGTTTACCTGGGGAAAAATAGAACAGCAGGATCACATTAAAATTCCAACAAAAGGGAATGCCAGGGTGCTCTCTGGGCATGTTTTTGGTAGTGTGGAGAGAGAGAAAAAAGAAGCAGTCATAATTTAAAAAAATGTATATTACTTGCTCAAAAGTCATGGTAGTTTAGTTCAATAATTATATCCATACAAACACACAGCTTCAGTTGAAGCAAAACATGTTATCTGTGAAGTTCTAGCTTGAAATCCCATGATATTTAGATTCATAACTGTGAAGGCAATGTCACAGTAGCCACATGGCACAGCTGAGGCTAGAGATGTCCATATAGCAAGGCTTTGGGATGTGGACAGCTGCTTTTCTTTTCCTTGGGGCATAGAAGGGGTTTGTATACAAATCAACATGTATCTCTATGCACACATGCATGAGTGTAGATAGGTATGCGTATGTACCTGGGAGCATATATATGCATATATGTGACTTCAGAATTGGAAGAGTTATAATGATAGCTCAGTCTCTTCTTCCTAATGGCTCTTGGGAACTCTGTGCATTGACAATTCTCTATAAAGTAGCTTGTAGCAGCATTAGTCTAAGAGGCACCACTTCCTGCAGAGGGACTGTGCTGGCGTCCTTCTGTGGAAGCTTTGTTGGGGTGCCTGTTCTTGGGAACATTCCAGCGGTAGCTTGGAATGCTTGCCTTTCTTCAGAAGTGTGAGGACTGAGTGAATGCAACAGAATGTTTGTATGTATTCTGTGCACTTGAGACAGGGAGACTTTGCTCACCTTACTGTGTTCCCTTAAAGTGACTAAGCAGTGGTACATTAACTAATGGATTGGGTTTGTTCCTTGGAATCTTAACTGTGCAGCTGTTGATTGACCACTCCTGATTTAACACGAAAATCTTGTCAGATACAGTCTCTACTTATCGTTCTCTGGTTGTGGAGGTTTGTTGTTTGTTTTCTCTTAAAGTCCAAAAAGGCAGAAATGCACACATGAACATTTGGCCATGAGCACAGCAGATGGAGAATTATGGAGCAGATAAACAAGATTCAGTATTTTTTTGTTGAAACTCTGAATTTTTGTCTGACTCTGTGTCTTGTGTGAAATGCAGTTCTCGCCATGGGGCAGATGTAACCCGAATGGAGACTTGGTTAACAGGTAGTTAGGGGGAGTGTGGAAGGATCTGCTGTCTTTAGGCAGAGAAAGTAGCTAAGACTGAACTATCAGTAAACTTGTATTCTTTTCAAGACTTCTTTCCTGCTACTTAATTGTTGGAAAGTTCAGAAACTATCCATATACCTTGTCAAGAAGCAGGATTGACAGGGTATTTTGGGGAAAGAAAAGGGGATACTTAATGTTCATTTGCTGGGAATTTTTATGGTAGAGGAGAAACCCATGGACAAAATCCTGGCATATTGAAATATCCATTCTGCAATTTGACATTTTTACATAGTGTTTCCTCAAGGAATCTTACTCTGTCTTACTGATAGTACTTATATTGGTCCCCCAAACTAGCAATAAATAGCAACACAACCTGTAAGAAAGCTAACAGGAGGACACAAAGAGAAAAGAGCATTTATAGGGAAAATGACAACTCAGATTCCCAACAGCAGATCACAGGGAGAGATCAAAGTATGTGATGCTAGTGATTTCACCTGAGGCCGGTGTTTGCCACCATTTCCTAAGAATTGATGAGTACTTGTTAAAGTCTAGATCTGCAGGTCCCCACCCTAGATCTACTAAATCCTCAGGAAAGGGATCTGGGACTATTGTTTTAATAGGCATCTCTCGTGATTCTCATGGTCAGACACATTGGGGAAACTGCTGTCATCTAATTGACTCCTAGGACTAATGTATTTTTAGAAGTTTGAGTGTGTGTGTGTGTGTGTGTGTGTGTGTGTGTGTGTGTGTGTAATTACCAAGGATTTTAGGGTTAAAATAAAATTATCAACTACTGCATATTGTCATTGCGAAACATTTCTTAATGAAAACATCTATGTAGGGTTGTCTGGTTACAGGAGATTTTCTCATGCACTTTCTCATTTGATCCTAATAACAATTGCATGAGGAGGTCAGGCAGCGATGATCGTGCCCACCCCCAAGTAACACGTGGACATGGATTTTGTATGTGGCTGGCAAGTGTGAGACTGACTTCGAATAGGATCCTTTACCATACGGGCAAGCCCAACATCAGCCCCAAAGCCTGTCACTGTTCCTCTTTTACTCCATACTCTGGCCACTAGGTTGATGGTTATGTTTCTAACATATCAGGTTCTTTGCCCATCCACACCTTTGCACACCTGTGCTCCCTCTGTTTGCCTGGAATGCCTTCCTTCCCGGTCAGCAACTCATACTTATTCATTAAGGTGCCTTCCTTAAGTTTTTTTGGATACACCCTTGTTTTCACCCAACTTCTTACCCAAGCAGAGCTAGCTGTTCTTTCAGCTGTGTTTCCATCACACAATATAGATCCTTCTACTGCATGTTGGGGTCTTGTTTAAGGTAGATGAATTCAATAATAAGAGTTTGGTAACACCCCCCTCTTCTTCCCTAACCTGCCATCGTGCCACTTACTTTTAATAAGCAGCAGATGGAATCATGCTTAAGACAGTGCTTGTGGCCTAAAGCTATGGGAGGCATTTGGGAATGATGTCAAGGGTTTTCCAAATATTGACACAAAAGTGTTCCAATGGCCAGAAACATGGCCATTAGCATCCTCTAGGAAAGGAATTATTTGAGGACACCAAGGAACGTTGTTTAATAAGAAGTGGAGGAGCCATAGGGAACTGTCTTAGTTTGCCTAGACTGCTATAACAAAGTACTATGGACTGGGTGGCTTAAACAACAGAAATTTTTTTTCTCCCAGTTCTGGAGGCTGGAAGTCCAAGATCAGGGTTAGTTTCTGGTGAGGCCTCTTTTCCTGGCTTACAGACAGCCACCTTCTCATTGTGTCTTCACATGGCCTTTCCTCCTGTGTGAGAGAGAAGAAAGAGAGAGAGAACAGGAACTCTTGGTGTCTCTTCAGGGCCGCACCTTATGACCTCATTTAATCTGAATTTTCTCCTTAAAGGTCCTATCTCCAAATACAGCCACATTGATGGTTAGGACTTGCAACAGATGCATTTTTGTCTGCCAGCTGATAATGGTTGAATAAACTTTTAAGGAGCAAATCTTCTTACCATCTGTATCTTTATGTGATCAGATATATTAGTTTTAGTTCTGATTCCCATTCTCTTGTGTTTGCAGCCACCACTGGTCCAGGCAATCTTCAGCGGTGATCCAGAGGAGATCCGGATGCTTATCCACAAAACTGAAGATGTGAATACTCTGGTAAGAGATGCTATGGTTTTGCCACTCAGGCCCTATTAGCCCGGAGCAGGAAAGAGCTTGTACCTTTTATGTACCATAGACTTTTGGTATCTGGTGAAGGCTCCAGACTATTTCTCAGGACACTGTTCTTAAACCCTCTGCACAAAATAAAATATTTAGGGTTATACTGGAAATCAGTTATTGAAATACAGCTATCCAAATATTAAAAATCTAATTCATGATTTGGAAATCTATGTGCTTTTAAAAAGCAACACATTTAGGCTGGGCACAGTGGCTCATGTCTGTAATCCCAGAATTTTGGGAGACTGAGGTGGGCAGATTACTTGAGCCCAGGAGTTTGAGACCAGCCTGGGCAACATGATGAAACCCTGTCTCTACAAAAAAATAGAAAAATTAGCTGGCTGTGGTGGTGCATACCTGTAATCCCAGCTACTGGGGAGGCAGAGGTGAGCCCAGGAGTTCAAGGCTGCAGTGAACTTTGATCACACCACTGCACTCCAGCCTGGATGACAGTAAGACCCTGTCCCCCCCAAAAAAACCCAAAAAACAAAAAACCCTACCATGTTTAAATAACTAGGTACCACAGAAGATCTAAGAATGGGCATAATTTAAAAAAAGCGATGCACATAATCAGTATTTTGAGTTGTCTGCAATAACTCTAATGCAATGTGAACATACCTGTGATTTCTGCTGGTGACGGCATTATAGTTATTGATGTTGCTGCTGTATGGCCTACATTCATAGCGGAAGGAAATGCTAAATTCCAGTTAGGGGAAATCAGTGATAATAGAGATGCAATTTTTTTCCCCAAGGTGACGAATGCTTAGAACCCATGCCCTGCAGCAGTGGTTGGCAACTATGGTGCATCATACTTTTTTTTTTTTTTTTTGGCGGGTCTCCTGCTAAGAATGGTTTTTATTTTTTAAGTGGGTGAGAAAAAAAATCAAGAGAAGAATAAGATTTTGTGATGCATGAAAATGACATGAAATTCAAATTTGGTGTTCATAAGTACGGTTTTATTGGAACACAGCCATACTCAATCATTTGTATGTTATCTGTGGCTACTTTTGCACTGCAACAGCAGAATTGACTAGTTGTAAAACAGACTATATACGGCTCACAAAGCCAAAGATATTTACTAGCTGTCTTTTTAGAGTAAGTTTGCTGACCCTTGAGCTAAAAGGTTCTTGACTCTGGGTTTGGGATCAGTGGGGTGGACTAGGCATCCTGTGTGCCCTCTTAAGTCACAGGCAATAGACGTGTGCACTATATACATATTTTGTGTGCAATGGATCAAACTGTTTCATCAATCTCCCAAAAGATGAAGAACCACTGGATCTGGAAGGTCTTGACACAAACAAACCTGCAATAAAGAAAGGTAAAAGGAGTTCGTCGATGATTTACCCTTTTAGTAGTTTCCTAGACTTGAGCTGAACAAGCAATTAGTACAGTACATGCTACTAATTCTTTTAAATGTAATTCAATTGTGAAATACTGAAGTCCACCAGAGAGGGGAGTTCTTTTTAAAGTCTCTTGTGTTAAGTAGAAACAACAGAAGTAGTCAAGTACATCTTCAGTGTAAGAGGAATTTTGCCACAGGGAGGTGGATTGTGTCTAAGGTTGTATCTCGCTCTGTTCAGCTGAATGCTTTATTCGGAAGGCGAGTCATTTGGTGCAGCCACTGTTCCATGGCAGTGCAGGTTGGTATGGATTTTGCAAAAGCTTTTGGCAGCTTCTCCCCAGCGGCACTGAGAACAGGATAATGGTTTGTGACATTTTTACAAAGCACAGATGAGGCCAGGGACAGACTACTCAAGAAGGCAGTTGGGCATTTGTCCAGGGCCTGCGGGTTGTGACCTGTACTTCTGAGATGAGGCCAGGCAAGCAAGCTCCCTGTCCAGTGTTCTGACATCACCGGAATCCACCCAGCCTGTTTTGTGGCTGTGGCCCAAGCCCAGGGAAGCCTGAGGCATGGTTACTCTCTTTTCCCAATGATCATGACAAATGTAACTTTTGTTCTGTCATACATACCAAAAAAGATTGTACTGGCTTCTGAATGGCCTTTATTTCTTTTTGGGAAAGTGACAAACAGTTGCTGGCTGGTAAAGGTTAGGGGACTTAACTTCAGTTGTAATTTATCACTGAATTAGTTAGATAGGTTAACTACTGTCACACATAGACCCCTAAATGTATGATGGATGTATGATGTATGAAGTTTAGTTTTCTTTATGAACATATTAGAGGGGTAGTCCTTTTCCAAAAGGAAAGGACTTAGAATCTTTTCAGGATTCTAGGTAGCAACATGTGACTTCTAAGATTGCCATAGGGGTTGTGTGCAGTCCTGCCAGCCCAAAAGGAAAAAGAGAATGGAGGAAAAGCATGGAAGGATTTTTAAGGGTTAGCTTAGAGTTGACATACGTCACTTATGCTTATATTCCATGGACCAGAATTTAGTCACAGCCATACCTAGCTACAAGGGACGGTGAGGAATTAGTGTATCTGTGTGCCCTCTAAAGTCAGAGAGCATGGATTTTGGTGAATAGTTAGCAATCTTGGTCACACCAGTTTTTGGTCTTAGAGAATTCTAGGGTATTCTAGTGATGCCACTTATTTGTCTGGGAGATGTCTTACTCATTCCACAGTCATTTACTGAGTTGAGACTCTGTGCTCAGTACTAGGGACACAGCAGTGAGAAGACAGCCCTTTCCACGATAGAGCTTACAATATAGCAGAGAAGTCAACAAATGAGAAATCACATTGTGAGGCATTTTTGAAAGAAAAAATCCAGGATGATATGTAGGGAGAAGGTTAATCATGAGGACCTGATAAAGTGATGTGTAACCCGAGGCTTGAGAGATCCATAGGAATTGGCTTTGCCTTTGTGGGCTGCTGGGTGTGTGGCAGCAGAGAAGCAGAGGATGGAGGGAGAGAGAGAAATGAACACAAGAGTGGTTGGGTGGATGGGAGAACACAAGGAAGCCCTGAGTTCCTTAGGTTGATATTGCTTTTTGGGGTCTATAGGCCCTTTTGTGACACTCACCCCTCTTTAGACTCCCCCGTAGCTTCTTGTTTTCCCTCCCTCGGGTGTGTACAAAGGTCATTTGATCCCACACTCTTATCCAGCATGTCCTCTTGTCATGTTTTTCTTTTGCCAATGTCTTTGCGGGTGAATCATACTGACTATTTTTGCTGGGGATGGATTAGGTAGTTTAGGAGAAGTGGTTGTTAAGAAAGGGCATAGACAGTTGGAAGACACATAAGAATTGGAGATCTAAGCCTGGAGGTGCATTTCAAAAGGGAAAAGGAGCTGATAACCATGCATTTAAATGTCAAGGAAGGAAAATAAATAGTACAGGAGCCACCTGTTACTTGGAGGACAATATTTGTCTTCTTACCCTTTGCTTTTCTTTCTCTCCCTCCATTTATTCACTTAATTTCTTTTCTGTCCTAGGTTCTGAGTTTTTCACCTTCCTTTGCCCTCACCTCTCCATGTCTTTGATGGGTCACATGTTCTGTGGTGTAAATCACCCATTCATTAGCTGATCCTGATATAGAAAGCCGTCTCATTCAGCTTGGCCTCTGTATTTTTCCAGACTTTATTTCCCCCAATAGTATTTATAAACCCTATGCTCCAGCTAACCACATGGCTTGACTCACTGGAATTTGTTCTGTTCTCTCGCCCTTTTCTGACTTCTCCACTCTTCCAGTTCCATTTGTCCTTCCATACCCACTACTTCCTCCATGAAGTTGTCCCACTTCTCACTTCCTTTCTGCTGTCTTCTCTACCACCTCCTCAGCCCAGCCAAAGAAACCTACTTTTACCCTCAACTTCCACAGTTCTTTGTACCTCATTAATCACTTTTGACTACTGCTTGAAATTGTGGCTGACCCTTGAACAACACAGCTTTGAACTTTGCAGGTCCACTTATATGCAGATTTTTTCCAACACACAGGTAGATTGAAAAGACAATATTCATGGGATCTGAAACCTGCATACATGGAGGGTTTTCATATACTTGGAATCTGCAGGCCCAACTCGGGACTTGAATATGTGCAGATTTCAGTGTATGCAGGAGTCCTGGAACCAATCTCCCACATACATTGAGGGGAAGCGGTGTATGCTTGATGACATGGTCACTATCTTATTCACTCTCATTCACTCACTCACCTAGTTCAGTCCTTATAGCACATTTGAGTGAACGAATCAACCCTACTTTATTGCTTATGCTGAGCCAGTTTGTGGTGGCTTATAGTTCATTTCTCTCAGTGAGGATAAATATTGAATAGAGGAAGCATCTAGCTTAGTTTCCCTCAGGTATCATTTGTAAGACTGGAAATTCTCCCTGTAAGATTGAAAATCTGTAGATTGATTTGAGGCACCACTGAAGAGTCAGGAGGGGCACTCTGAGTCTTTTTATGGTTTCTATGGTTAGTGGCATACCAGGGCCTGGAAATATGGGATGATCATTGCACACTCTGAGAAATCTATTTAAATTGACCCAGATTTGGCAGATAGCTAGATTTTTAGAAGCCTCCATTTGACTAACCAAACAGAGCTTAAGATGGAGAATAGCATCCGATTTCAAAATTTGAAAGGCAAAGATTTTACAAACCAAAATCTGAATTCAATAAAGGTATTTTGGGGATTATATTATAACAATGTGATGTCAAGAGGACACTTTTACTGTGTCCTGCTGGAACAGGGACAAAGTAGCATCTGTAAATGGTGAATGGTGATGATGGGGAGGGAACCGTGCTATGTGAAGAGTGGTTGGGGAAACTGGTGATGTTTCACACTTGGGGAGGACAAGAGAATGGCCCCAAATAGTTTAAGTTAACACTGTTAAATTACAGTGGAACTAGACTAGACTTGTCATTATGTCATGTGGTTGTAAGCTATAGAAAACAAGATGTTAGCTCAAAAGATAAGAAATAATAGACAGAGCTGTCTAGAGAAGCAATGAGTTGAATTGGCAAGTAGTAAGCTCCCTCAAAGACCACTAGACTGTAGGTTTGAAAGGTGACTAATATGGTAGCACATACAGCCCCATTCTCCTATCTTGCGACCCTGGCCAGCATTGCTAATGATTCGTGGCATTTTTTTTTCCTTTGAATGTTAGATACCAAAATTTCTTTTGAAGATAGCACTATGAAATTGAAGTGCATGTAAATTGAAACCTCCTCTCCACACCTGGACGAGGTTATGTTTAAAGTCTCTTACAACTATGAAAGACTATAGTCCCAAGAGTTGTGAGTCTCACATGACAGCAAATCCATGTTTCTTTCTTTTTTGAAGTATCATTAATAGAAACACACACATTATCATACCGAATAGAATTAACAACGATGCCTCAATATCATTTAATATCCAATACATGCTCCATTTTATTTTGATTCAGTAGTTTTAAAAATGTCTTTTTACAGTTGAGTTGTCCCCAAGTTGATTATTTTAATCCATCTATTTTATACAAAAAATAATTTTGTAAAGCTGTTAAGGTTTATTATTTGCTCTAATAGGATTTGACCCAAGTAGGTTGGTGTATTTTCTTTACTCTTTCCAATTCCAAAGTGGGATGCTTTGTGAATGTAATGGAATAAATCTTGAGGTGCCCCCTAAGCTTATGTTGGCAAAGAATGTATAGGAAACAAAAGAGAGAAAACTATTACAGCTGCTGTTCTCAACTACAGGAATTAATTCAGATGGATTAATTATTGGATCTCAAGAATTAAAAGTGAGAAAAAACAAAGACATTGTATGATGAGGCAACTTTTCAAAGAAATAAGCCACATTAACAATAGTAAGCTTGTAATGTAGATGCGTGTGTGTGTGTATGTTGATGTGTTGCACTGTTTTGTTTTTTTTAAATAGAATATATTTTAAAATTCCACCCAGAAGAACTCAATGTGGCTCCACTCAAAAACTTGGGATGATCAATTTAATAACTTCTCCAAGTTTTTTTCTGCTTGATTATATTATGCCTAATACTCTTAACATTAGGAATACAGACTATGTAGCCCAGCTTTCAAACTTCTAGATTTTTATTTATTTTTCTCACCTACATATATCCTACTTGATTTTTTTCTTTTTAATAAATAATTTGATATGAGAATGAAGGACTGAGATGTTTTGCGAGCCTAGAGACTTGGGCACCTTCTAAGTGAGACCTAAATCAGAAGCCGCTGGGAGAAGAGAGACTGCAGGGAGTGGGGTGGCACACTCAGGTCCCATAAATGATAGAAGTGCACGGTCAGCACGAGTGATGAATGGCTCAGCTCTCATCAAGAGCCCTGCAGGAATGCAGGCACAGTGTGGCCCAGGCTTTTTAGGTTTTTAAGAGAAAATACAGGAAATCTCTAAATTGT